AAAATGTAGTTTTTGAAGTTTTAGGCTTATAATAGTATATAAGGACCCATTTTTTTATTATAAGCTTATAATTTTAGATTTATGCTAGTTATTCGTAAAACTAATAATTCTATAAGTATTTTATTAGATTTAATATAATTTTTTATATTTAAAACTATAAAAACTATAAAACTATAAAACTACACTATAGTTAATACTCTGCGGGCCCTAACCACCTTACAAACTTAACGGACTACCTCTACTAACTACTACTAGACTAGTAGTACTAGTAAGCACAATACAAACAGGTATTTATTACCGTAAATTCATTCGGTTAAGCAATAGAGAGCCTTGCTAGCTTAATACTGCGAGACTAATCCTTTCGCTTATAATTATTACGTTTCTTATTATCTTTAAATAAAGATTTTTTTACATCTTACTTTTCTAAAATAATTAAGGTAAAAAGCTTAAATAGAAAGATAAACCCGACCCTTAAACCTCAACCTAAACCCACACATGAAATCACTAAGCGCCTGAGCTAACGCGAAAGTCGATCCACACATGATACATCCACGTGAGCTAATCATGCGCAAGCCAGCGAGGTACCGCGCAATGACATGGAAATCTTGTTAATTTCTTTCCCCGGGACAGCGTTGGCATGTGGAGCAATCATTCTGCGTATGCTTTCAACAGAGAAAATAGCCAAGACTTGAACTGGACATTCATGTAACTTGCAAGGCAGATTAATGCCTTGCGTAATTGGTAAGCACCAAGAATTGAATTGCATCCTCCGAGTTTGAGGTCGACGTCGAGTATATCCTATTGAACCATTGTGTTAGCCTTCGAAATTAACGCAACAGAAAGCTACAAGGCAGTCGACTTACAATGCTGGATCTAATGTCCGCCGCGAATAAAACCATAAATAATCCATTATACCACTGTGAGACGGGTAAAGTTATAATAGGTTCCATATCGGCTCCGCCAGAACGCTGGTCAAAGATACTCCGCAACCGCTGATGGTAACCTGCAACCCAAACGCCCAACTGCCTATTGGCAGCCGCACTATTTCCGGTAGCGGTCTTCGTTTCTATTGAGATTGGAGCGGGCAGTCGACGTAGCGGCTCATACATCGTCTGATTTATAGTCGCACACTCAGGTAGTTGAGAATCCAGGAATTTATCGATGAGGGCTGATAGTTCGTTGTCGGGGTGGAGGACCAGGGCGTAATCGACCATGATGTGAACGAAGCTCTGCGCCACACATCCAGTCCCGGTACTGGAAACGCTGGAAATTGTAGATGAGGTTTCATCGTCGAAAGCTGTCTCTTTCCACGGCGGGCGGAACGCCTTGGCAATTTGAGCCGACGAAGTCACCTCGACGCCTACAGAAGGAATGTCTTCGAGTAAAAGTTCGAGAAATGGGAAGTGAACCATGGTGTTGAAGGCGGCCTCTGAGCGGCGTATGTTGGCGGACTCGATAGCCTTGGCAACAAGTTTCTTTATATTCTTGTGTAGTTTCTCAGCATTCTCGGACCCCAGACATGAAGGGACTTCGTCCGATTCCCACATGAAGGGCCGCGTCTCTTCATCGAAGTAACGGGAATCCTTCAATGCTCGCGGTAAAATGCCCTCTTTGTTTGATACCGCAAATAGATCTTCATACAGCTGTCTTATATCCGCAGGGAGCTGGTTTGCGCTTGCTTTTTTTACGTCCACTGGGCGTTCCAAGCCCAAGAGACTTGTCGCAGTCTTGACTCTTTTTGTTGGGGAAGAAGCGTGTCTTGACCTTTGCGACCGTTTCGTTGGCGACGGTGTTCTTCGGATGAGTGGGCGCGCCGGGAATCGAGTGGCGCGGGCTTCGGAGGCAGGAAGAAGAAATGAGGACGCAGTGGCGGATGTTTCAAGTTCGACTGAAAAGCAGTCGCCAGAATCTGCTGTGAACAATTGAGACATGGTTGATCGACTTTTAGCTGCTGGTGGTCGCGGTGTCGCATCGGGATCGTCACCCCCGGCCTCTAGAGCGTGGGCACCTTGCTTGTTGTTGTTCATCTGATCAGAGTGTAGCAGACCATCCAGCTGACGGTAGTCAATAACCGGCGTGACGATATCCTTTAGCCACTCGTCAACACTCTTATTTCTCATGTCGCCAAATCCCTCGATTTTGTCACGTTAACAGCACGTAAACCTTGATGTTGGTAGGTATGCAGCATCCCCATGAACGGTGCGTAGAAAGAGGCAAGGTGGTACAGAGGGCCTTGGTGGTTCGCACGGCAACGACGATGTCCACCACATTGTTGGACAGGTTGGTCGGATTATGTCATCCACGTGATCCACCTACACGTGACAAGCTGCCAGGATAACCTGAGATGCAACGCATCAAAGACGGCACCATGTAAGCGAACCCGATATTCGTCGAATGTAGTGATGCGACTTGGTAGTATAATATTTTAATTTACTTAAGTAACTTATAAAAAGATTATATATAAAAAGTTTATAAGGTATTAATAAAACTTTACGTAATAAAGTTATTGGAAGTTCGCTATGTAGCTTAACTAGTTAATAGTTAGCCTTATTATATAGATTTCGGTTAATATAAGCTAAGGTACATAAATTAGTATTTAAATGAAATTAAAAAAATTTTAGGTAAAATTAATTAATAGTGTTAATTAATACTATAAATAACGGTTAGAATAATAGTTAAAATAATAGGATTAACGGTTAAACGAAACGGTTAATTGGGATAGTATAAAAAGTATAAAATAAATTACATGTAAATAAATATATAATATTACTTATACATCTATTTATAAATTACACGATACTACTAGTATAAGCTATTTAAACCTAGGTATAACCCCCGCTTAAATTAATAGGTAAACCCACTTTTTCTATATTAAATTTACTTTCTAAACCGTGCTAGTATCGTTTAGCACTATTTTACACTATACAGTAGATTTTTAGATCGTCTGCTAGGCAGTCCGAAATTCCTGCACGTGCACACCCCTCTAGGGGGTCTACTACTAATATGTAGTTAACTGGTCTCTTAGTGGAAGGCCGGTGCCGGCGCCCTGCGCTCCTCTATATTTTAAGGCAATTACAGTTGGTCCCGGTAATTCCGAAAAACGCCTACTTTTACACTAAAACTTATACTTTTTAAAAACATATAATTTTTTTTAAACAATATATTAAAAATATAATTTTTAAATATTTAAATTATTAATTACTTAAAAATTATATATATAATTTTTAAGTAATTAATAATTTAAATATTTAAAAATTATATTTTTAATATATTGTTTAAAAAAAATTATATGTTTTTAAAAAGTATAAGTTTTAGTGTAAAAGTAAGCGTTTTTCGGAATTACTACGAACCCACTATAAACTTCGAAGAAGGGCTTAACGGGATCGTAATCTTTATTGTCGGCTATAGTCGTATATGCTAGATATGTAGTTAATCCTACTTATAAACTGTTTGCTTGGTAGATTTATAAAATTTCAGAGCAGCAAAAAAACATACAACACCGGGTATTCGCTGTTCGTCACCGACCCAACTACTAATCCAGCGCTCGCCAGGTTATCGTGCGAGAACGGACGGGATCGTGAGTTTTACTGGCGGCTGTGGTCGTATGTGCTAGGAGCGGCTACTATCTTAAATCTTATAGTGGGGGATTATAATAGCAAGAATGCTAATGGCTTCTTATCGGCATCTTTCAGAGTAATAAGTTGCACTCACTATCATATTGATATGTATCTACCACTGTGTAAGCCGAACGAAATCACTTGACAAGAATATTCCCTGCCTTTAGTCCGTCCATGACTGTTTTTTCACCCATAATGTGCTTGGAATACATGGGCGAAGCATGTTTACTCTCGTTCCAAATTATAATTCGAGACACCATACGAAAATTAAGTCTCTAAAAGAGATATATAATGCCCCTAACACTATTACTCCATAGTCGACTTTACCAAGCTCACTAGAAATGCTATTTTCCGTACCTACGCGCCTCTCGTCCTATTGCCGACAGTCTCAATAAGCAATCCTTGGCATGCATTAACCGTGAAAGAGAGAAAAAGAGAAAACAAGACTTGAACGCGAGCCCAATGTCCCTCAAAGCCGGGTTTTTCAGTGGGCTGCCAATCACTCCCAGGGCTCGGGCGATCGTGTCGGTCAAGATTTCTCATGGCCAAGTCGTTACTAAGGCGGCAAAGACATCTGTATCCTACTCTAGAATGGGGTTGATCCAAAACCCGAAGATATCAACAAGAGGACTTTACTTTGGCTGACTACAAGGCATGAGAACAAGAGCAGGGAAAATGTGACTGTTCGCTATTATTATTCTACCACTGAATGTGAAGACAAGAAGTAGGGCCTCGGTGCGCTATTGCCTCCCCTGTTCTCGCATGCAATTGTAGCACTTGAAATTGACATACAAGTGTCAGAACTAGTTCTAGAACCAGGTGAACGACTTTCCCGTGTAATAGTACCCATGGCCTGTAGATCGGGCTCTATTTGCCAAAGTCGCAATAAATTAAAGAAAGAAGTTGAGTATTTTTGAACACGATAGGATAGGTTACATCGTTAATGGTCTTTAGCCTAGCACTAAAAATCCCCTGTATTTATAGTAGGCTGGGAATAGAGCATTAACAAGAAAACTATATTTTTAATTTTTAAAAAAGCTTAAATAATTAATAATAAATCTAATAAAATACTTA